CACACACACACACACAGACACACACCTTAATAGGCCTAAATCCAAGCGGCGGTTTGATGATACTTATAGTACTTATAAGTTAGCTATTATCTCACTGTCGAACTGCTAATGGGCTTTATCTTAGTCTTGAGATATGGAAAACATAATCTTGTCCATACCCCTACTCCACTAAAACACCTGACATATGAAGGACTCCATAACAGAACCCACTATATCCATGTAATACAAAGCTGAGAATATTTGAGAGAAAAATAAACAAACAAAAATAACAACTCTGTAAACCAAAGTACGAACGAAATGCACTTTTTTCTAAGAAATATCAAGGGAGACAGTGCATTTTAAGAAAAAGATCGATATTATATTCTCATCAGAATTCTTGAGTGAATTTTAAAGAGCGGGCGGGAATTTTTCGCAAAAGTCCAGATTTGACGTATGGTACGTTTTGCAATGGAACCCTCCATACTATTATAAAGCTGGTAATATCTGCTGCTGACGTTACAATCCGACGTTTGTTGTTACGCCACCATGAGATTTTCTCTAATTCTTTGCCTGCTCCTGCTGGCCTTGTTTGCCTGCGGGGATGCGGCGGTACCCATCGTCAGTGGATTTTTTCCGCCCCCAGGTAGGATAAATAACATTCTTTTTTTGAAAAATCTTTAATTTTAAGTGTATTATATTAGTTTAACTCCCCTATCGATACTATTAGTTATTTTATTAAGAGGTGGGGCCTCTGCCACCGATATAACTGAGTCAAACTGGTCCAGAACCGTGAATAATTGGGTTGTTTTTTTAATGACCCGAGTTCGAGAGCTGGCAGTTGGGAATTCAAACCAGGGCCACCCGTTTCGTAGTCTAACCTGGTACCTTACCAACTGAGCTAACCGAGCACTCATTAGGTAGGTTTTTTGCAAGTCAGTTTCTGACAATGACCAAATCATCTGCAGAAGATAGTAATTTCTTAAAACAAAATAGAAGAAAAAAAAGTGTTATTGACTTGTGGTTTCTGCGATGGCATATGAGACCAAAACGTTTGCTACATTGTTAAGCCACCAAAGGCTTCACTTCCGCTTATATGGATGTACGCAGGTAACGGGTTTCTCTCTTGGCTTTTGCCCGTTTTCTATTCAACATGGCAACCTTTGATCTCAATGCATTTTTTCGCCCAGTTCAAACGCAGTGACCAAGTCCTCTTCGGCCAGAGTACTTTGCTCTGCATTTGCTTCGGGCACAGTTTCTTCCTGGTTTCCAGATCGCTTCCCCCCTTAGTCCTTCTTTGATTTTGGGGAAGAAATGAGAGTTGCAGGCTGTTCAGTCTAGGAAACAGCGGGGATGTTCGATGATTTCTCACTTGCAGGAGTCAGGAGATCGGTGAACTTTCAAGCACTGTGTACAGGCGCGTTGTCACGATGGAAAACATCTCGATCAAGCAGACCCGGCCGCTTTCTTCTGACTGCTTATTTCAGTTTTGTTTGAAGAACCATCCTGTACTGTGAGTTGGCACTGACTATTGTGCCGACACGAACTAGTCAGTTTAAGACAATACCTTTGTGATCGAAAAACATAATGTTCGTCAAGCCTTCTGAGGTCGTGGTGATCCTGTGTTTCTCCATTCTGCTGATTAGTTTTTCAGTTCTGGATCCCACAAAAATACCCTTGTTTCATCAAATATTTTGATACTTCTAAAAAAATGTCCGTTTATTCCAAGCAACTTTCATTTGGTCTCCAGAATAAAAAATGGGGCGGTGATTAGAAGATCAGGAAGACATACTCGAAACAAATACATGTACTGTCCTAAGGACTCCTGCTGAAGTGGACATGGTCATTGCTTCTTACTGCTGATTACTTCGAATGAAAAAGTGTATTGAGATCAATAGGTGTTACGTTGAATAGAAAACATGTTTCCGTACACATGTGTAAAATTTCATGTCTGTAAAACGAAAATTGTTGTTTTTAGCAGAACAAGGACATTCACTTTTGGGACGGACCTAGGATGTACATATTATCGGTTAATTCTTTAACTCTCAAAGGACGTAGTAGACACGTTAAAATGTATGTTTGATCCACAGTAAACCTAATGCAATGTTGCTGCACATTTGACCGTCATACACAAACAAAAACACAAATTTGCTTATATCATAATATTTGCATCGTGTCGCCTGCCTTTTCTCTATGTATATTTCAGATAAAACAACCTGAACTGAAAATAATCAAAATAAAACAAAAAGTTTCTTGAATAACGAAGTTCTGCTTCTTTTTTAAAGTTCCCCTGGACAGTACGTCTTTGGGAGTTGTCGTATAACCAGAATGCTCGCGCTCAAAGAGTCATGGCCCATGTGTACGGTCTTGTGGTTAGGCTACCGGATTCGAGATCTTGTCAGTTTGTTAGTGTTTGAGCGCATAACCAGCTGCTTGCACTGTATGCTTCCCGGGAAGCTGAGAATGTTTCTGAGTGTTCTATAGTCTGCTGGGGTAATATTATAGTGTAAAGCGCATAGAGCTTGCTTTCGAGTGGGGACACGCGCTATACAAATGCTATATAAAAATTATTATAAATACCAAAAAGGAAGAGGCCGTTGGCTCAATGCACTTGTAAACAAAGAAAAACATTTTTTAAGCCAAAAAGAGAAGAAATTGTTGAAGATACGCATAATTATCCTAGTCATAGTAGGCTTCTGTTAGGACCAATAATATAATATAGCCTACAAGACTGTGCACTCTCGTAATAGTTCAGTTCAGCGTGGGGTGCTCCATCTGAGTCTATTTTTAACTAAATGAAGAGCAAAGCGGTAAAGGTTGTGCGAGCACACTTATATTGCTAGAATGGTGTTCTGCCTTTTATTTACTCGCCCGTGGTGAGCACCAGTTCATACGTATGTGTGTGTGTGTGTGTGTGTGTGTGTGTGTGTGTGTGTGTGTGTGTGTGTGTGTGTGTGAGAGAGAGAGAGTGAGTGTGTGTGTATTAGATTATAAAGTATACATATTATGTATATGGGGAATTCTCCTGAAAACTTGAACTTGCGCATACCCCTTACTGCAAACGCCATACATATCTTTCTTTATTTCAAATTATTGTTAAGATGAGCTAAGCCGGTGGGGAAAAGGTTGCCGAACCTGGACTAGGCAGAAAATATCCAATGAAATGATATGCTGAAACAGTGTGGGGGGGTTTTTTGTTGAAAAAT